GGATTTTGTTAAGAATTTCTGCACAGTTTTGCAAAGGAACTTTTTCTTTCCGCGTGTATTTGATGTGGTGAACTTTTATATATCACGAGCTCATTTGCATGACAAAAATGACTTTATTTTGCATTCTGTGGTTGAATAATTCATATCTGTTTAAACAAGGAAGATGATCAGTGTCTACAATGGGCCAGGCCATGTGCAGCAGTGACCCCAAATTATCCTCATGTCACCTGCTTACATACCAGTTAACAAATAACTATGGCAGGATGTTGAAATGGAGTGCTTGTTTGCTTGCTTGTTTTTCTTGCCATAGAGTTATTACCCATAAACAAAAACAATCAATTACAAAATGGGTTTATTGGGCAACACCAGGAAAAGGTGGATTGGAAAGTGCATGTCTCATAGTGAGACCCCCATGACTCCCTACATGACCTCTGGTTACACCTCTCCTCTACCAGTTCCACTGAGCTGGGGAACAGCATCATCCCCATGGGAGATGCAAGACTCAGTGGACTTTGCTGACTCTGTCTGTGTGTGGTACCCTCTTTTTAGCCTCCAGACCGCGTTAAAATGCAGTGTCTGAATTTTAATAGTGCAAGAGTACAGTAACGCCACTCTTAATATCAGTAGTGCTAGAGTTCAGCCAGGAAAAGAAAAGCCACAGTGGCTATATGAACAGAGAATTTAATCCAAGGAATAGGTTAAATGGAAATTAGAGAATGAAGCTGCCGAGAGGGAACAAAGGAGGTAGAACAGCAACAGCATCTGCAGGTAGTAGTTTCTCCCTGGACTGGGAGAAATTGCAGGGAAGAAGCCAGGTTTACCAGAATGTGGGCGACGGGGTAGGGACCCATTGCTGGTCCCACACCTGGGGTACTCAAGAGGGCCGCTGGGGAGATGGGACAGCACCTCAGAGAAGGGGATGCTGGCCAGCTAGTGCTGATACCTCCTGAGCTCAGGGCAGGTCCCTAGAGAAGCTGGACACAGATCTCTAGGACGGGGTCCTGGCCGGGCTGCTGCTGGTATCTCAGGGGCGCCCAGAAGGCCGTGTCTGGGATACTCGAACACTTGGGAACCAACACCACAAACAATTGCTGCTGCCTGAGTAAGGGCGGTTGCCAGGAAGCTCTGACAGGAACAGGAAGCAACCTCCAAGGGCCTGGTCCCTGCTCCCTCCTCTGACCTTTCAGGCTCTGCCAGGGGGCACCCTGGTTGCAGGGCCACTTGACAAAGAAGAAATGTCATTTGCAGAGCCTGTGAACACAGTGTGCACACAGGCCATGTGCAGAGGGAAGTGCATGCCCAGCCTCAGATACGTTAGGTGGCTTTTATTCTGGTGCTCTGTAACAGTTGCTGCCCAAGTAGGTCTTGCAGAAGAAGTGGCTAAAATCTGAGATTTTTTTGCCATCTCTGGATGCCTCTCTGCTATCTGTCTCCTCTTCCCCTCCTACTTCAGGTATTGCTACCACACTACACCCACCAGCTAAGTACCCACAGTGCTCTCACCCCTGCCCCCCAATCTCGGTACCTCAGTTCTATAGTCAGGTTTCTAGGGCTTGTCATTAGTTTTGCATCTTTCCTTTTTTAATATCAGAATAATCTTCTTCCAAACTGCTGTCCGAGGATCCCACTACTTCATCTTAGACTGAGGTGATTTTGTCAAATTGATACTGACAGCAAGTATCTGGGGAAGCTGCGTAATATTTTCCTTTTCCTTAAAGCTAATAATTGATTTCCTTTCATGTATTCTCTAATCTACAAAATCATCAAGGTTACAATGAATATGGCCTCCCTGTTGCTTGTGTAGGAACAACCTTCGATAACAAAGTTCATCCTCAATATTGTGCTGTGTGAATTCTTGATTCCTGCCTTTTCTTTTCGACTCCTGTAACCAACGACACCACCCCCCACTCACATACACACACCCAGATCTTCTCTCATTTCATTCTCTTTATTTGGATTTTGAAGATAATGTGTTACTCCTAAGTGCAGTCAGTTTGGACATAGCACCTTTGAAAATCTTTACGAGACTAAAATGTTCTTTGTGGTTATTTGATCTATCTATTCTTCTAGCCAATGATAGCACCAGACCCCCCCCAACTACAACCCCACCCCACCCTGCGCTCTCTCGATAGCTACCAATGGTGGAGTTAGCAGTGTGGATTCTGGAATCTAATATTCTGGTTTCAAATCCTGGCTTTGCCATTAACTTGCTATGTAACCTTAGAAAACCATCTTGGTTCTCAGTGCCTCAGTTTTCTCATCTGTAAAAAGGGGAGAACTAGTTGTTTCTATTTCATAGGCTTATTGAGAAAATTCAGTGAGTTAATATATGTTAAATGGTTATAATGATCTGGATAATAGTAAGTAATATGCTTGTATGTGTATGTGTGTGTTGCTGTTGTTACTAATTTACTAAGCCCATCAGAGAGATTGTAACTGGTTTCACTTCTTCCCTTTTTGCTTATGCCTGCAACACTTGGCTTCCCCTGATGTCTTCCCTGCTCTCTCCAGGGTGGCTCTGCTGGGCGCCTTCATTGCTGCACTGTTGCTGAGTCTGAGTTGCCTCTCCTGTGTGCTCCTATAATTTCCTTCCCCCACCTGGATCACAACATCCATCCCACCTGATGTAGGTCCTTGGCATTTGTGGTTTTAAATACTCGTGATAACCTAAAGGCCCATGGTAGTTAGTAATCTGTAAAGGGATTAATGGCAGACAGATAGATATTGATCATAGATACTAGTCATATTATCCATCTATTAGGAACAAATAAGGCAAAGTATAAGTTTGAGGACCAAGAAGACTTCATGATGTATCTTTCCCAAAAGTATAGTTTCTATTATATTCTAATATTCTACCTTTTATAAATTTTTCCAAATTAAATTCTGCATCCCTGAATGGGGCTGCCAATTTATCTTTATTCCTAGAGCCTTATACAAACTGGGGATTTAATTAATATTTGTTGTCTGAATGGAGGTGTATTTTTTTTTTAAGATTTTATTTTATTTGTGCATACAGAACTGGGGTACAGGCCAGAGATGTGGAGGGTGAGAGAATTCACCAGAGACAGAGTGGAGTGCAGAACAGGCAGATCAACGAAATACACTGCTGAGGGGAGCAGCGGGCGGGTCAGGAGAGGTCTGCCACGCCATGTGGTCACCTCCAGGGCAGGCGGGAATCGAACTCATGAGGAAGCGGCTTTAGATTCTCAGTGCTGTTCTTTAACCCGCTGCGCCACCAGGGAGGGCCTGGAGGTGTATTTTTAATTCAACCTAGAAATTATTTTTCCCTAAAAACTGACTTTACCCCTGAGCCATAGTATGAGGTGCTCACCTTCTTCCTATAAAAGCTAAGCTCAGAATTTCAGAAGGTTTGAGTTATAAACCACTGCCCTAGAAGACGACTTCCTACTTATTCGAGAAGGAAGGGAGAAGAAATGCACTTCTTTTAATACTAACTACACCGAGATATATGGTTAATGAAATAAAAAGGACTCATCTGAAAAACTGGTTTTTAGGTACTAGCCTATTTTCTTTTTCCAGAAAACTCTTGAAGAAGGCAATATAATTCAGACTGAGACAAATTGAATCATAACTTAAGTAAATATGGCAAGTCAATTATATGTAAAGATGTTGTAGATGTATCTCATGATTTAGAGATTGAGAAAATTCTCTCAGCCTTGCACTTACCATGCAGCTCACAAATGCCTCCTGCACTATGGAAAATTCTCTTCATTTGCTGTACTATCTGACTAACAGGTCTGAGACAGACAATTCATTTGGGCAAGAATGCCTGAAAAGAAGGTACAAAGACACTGGGGTTTGCAGATCAGGACAAGAAAGGCTAAGTCCAAAAGGAAAGCATTTAGTTTGGGGAACTCACACTTGGGTGCTCAGTAAAAAACATCATTGCCTTTGTGATTAAGGCAGGTTCTAAACTATGAAAGAAAAGATGAGATTCTTTGACTAAAATTGTTTCAAGATCCTTCTTTAATGTTCTTTCTACAAAGTCAACTTTTGTGGCTTTCAGTGCTGCATATCATCACCTGTACATGATTAAGAATGACTGAGATTACAAATTTATAAGCAAATTCCAAGAGAGGAGACCAGTGAGAAGCTTTGTAAAGCACACCCAGATTAGTAATTGTTAAATAGGAACCAAAATTGGGTTTAGGTGAGGTACAAGGGGGAGTTGGGGTACACCTACCACCCCATTCTGAGAATCACTATATAGGATATGAGGTGTAGTTTGTGGCACTAGGTATACAAAGGTCGTGAAGGCCAGGGAAATGGTTGAGAACAGTGGTCTATGTTCAGATCCATCTGTCATGAGGCCCCACGGGTTACAGGATGCATGCTCCCTATCACACCAGGCATCCTTCTCAAACTTCCACATCACAAAGTACTTTTGGCATAAAAGTTCCCTTTTTTGTAATAAGTGCCCTCTGATGGATTTCCTGACAGTGCCACTGTGTTATAAAAAAGAAAAGAAATTATAAAAAAATAACTAGAAACACTTATCAAAGTAACATGAAAGTAGCTGAGATGAACAATTATTAAGCAGATAAACTGTACTGGAATGATTTAATAATATTTAGTGACATTGTCCTTAGTTAATATACATTTAATTAAGCTACCAGAATCAAAGTTGGCTCTCAATGCTTATAATTTTTCTGGGAACAAGATGAAATCATTCAATTTAGTTCCAGGAGAAAATACTGTGAATGTCTTAGAGAAAGCTTGGGAACTGACTTATAAACTGCTCTTACAATTCTTGTAAATTCTCCAGTTTAAAAATTCTTTTTAATCTCTACTCTCTGGGTAATTTAGGTGTAGGTTAAAAGACCAATTTGGCCTGTAGCTGATTTAATGTTTTTATTGTGCAAAATGACATTAATATTTATGTTTTTCTTAATAGGGCCTGTATTCCCATCTTACCAAGTGAGCCATCATGTGAAGGACCTCCTATTTTATTTCACTTCTGTTTTGCATGTGCATTCTAGATTGAGAAAGTCACGAGAATCAACTGCCACCCTCTGAAAGGGGAAACTGCCTCAGTTCACAAAGAAAAGTGATTTTCCTGTGATCACAAGATGACTCAGGTTAGTAGCTTTTGGCTGTTACTACAATTCAAATAATATGAATTTCCAAGGAGCTCTGCATATCAGTAAACCTAGCTAGTTCCAATCTTGTCATTTTAGCTTTTTTAGTAAGATGGAAGGTAACTTGGAGTTTATTTTTGTACCAAGTAAAAAAAGGAAGGTGAAAAATAACTGTTGTGCAGGGTAAGGTAAAGAACAAGAATAGATATAGTATTTTTTTAGAGAACAAAATGAATTTCTAAGACTTAAACACATTGTGAGATGATAATTATCATATACAAAATTATAGTATAATTTCTATTTGAAAATAACATGTAGATTACAAGTTAGAAGAATGACATATGAAAAAAAATTAAATATGTATTGTACAGTGAAGTTCTTTTTATCATATAAATAAAGCCTTTCAACTGTCCTGATCAACTTGTATTTTCACTTTCAAATACAGTTTGATATTTGTCTTTGAAATTTAAAGCAATTTTATGCTATCTCTCTTTTTAATATATTTTATCTTCTGTGAATTTACACTCAGAGAAAAATAATCTGATATTTACATTTGTTTTGTCTCACAAAAATTTGTCTTCATAGTTTCCCATGGGTTTAGACAATGTCAAAATTTAGCAAATGGTGCACCAACATTTGTGCAATTTGTTATATGTCTAAGTAAACCAATTATTATATCTAAGTAAACCAATTAAAAATAAAGCAAAAAATTAGCTGTTTTTTATGAAACACAACAATGTTTTCTAGGAGAAATAAATTGAATGATTTTATCTTGTTCCTGAAAAAATTATAAACATTAAGAGTCAACTTTGATTATGGTGCCTCAATTAAATACATACTACTTAAGACAATGTTACTAAACTTTATTAAACCATTCCACTACAATTTACTTGCTCAATATTAGCTATTTTCATGTCATTTTGACAAGTGATCCCAGTTATTCTTCATTGTTTACATTTATTACTCATTATTTATTAAAGCTATTTAGACCTCTAAGTCTCCAGAACCAATAGACTAAAACAAGATGCGCATGAAAAGTCTCTTCTATAGAACTTCAGAATCTAGTACATATATTAAGTCACTGTCATAACTTGTAGAATACAAAATATTTTATATTCTATGAAATATAGGAATTAGGAGGTTTATATATGAGAAGACTGGAGAAGTTTGCAGACTAAAATTACTACTTGGCTCCCAATATTAAATTAGGTTTTAAAAGTGGGATACAACAGTGTATTCAGTTTTCTCTGATTTTATATCATATCAGAAAAGAAAAATGTTAAATTTATGAAGAAGAAAATAGGACAGAATTACATGAAGTTATCTTCTAATAGGAATGGTAGTTTCTATTTTATCATAATCTAGATAGTCAACATTTCTTATGAGTTGTTGAATATATACCTTTAACAACATATGTATATATGTGTATGTGTGTATATATCTGTGTATTATACATGTACATATGTACACACATATGTGTACATGTATAACACACACAAATATACACTTGACCCTGTACAATGTAGAGGTTAAGGACACTAATCCCCCCACATAGTTGAAAATCCTACATGTCACGACCTCGGAACCAGTGCTTGTGTCCAATGAACCAATGATGGGGGATACCACAACTGGCCCTATTTGGTCTGATGCCCATCCACCCATCGAGGGAAAGATGTAAGTTATCAGAAGAAGGGTAGTGATGGACAAGTAGAATCAATAGTCTGCTTGGAGTTAAGTATACCTATTGTGATCTTTTAAAATCGTAGATCAAGTAGGACTCTTATCTGCAGGATTTCTCAAAGCCTGTAGTATGCTATGTGCATACCTCTCAAAGGAGAGGTACAAAATGCACCTTTAACTACTCAACCTTTTGATCTGGAGTATTTTATGAGTGTAGTAGTTGACAGCATACCAAAAAGGAAGCCTGGGTAAACAAAATGGTATCTTCCTTGCTTCACTGGCAACATTGCATTCTCATTTTAATACTAATCTTGCTAACTTAATCACGTTAACAAACTCACAAGATACTTGTTTGTATCTATAAATCATGAAAATGTTGCTGAAATTCAAATCCACAGTTTCAAAAATGTCATAGTGAATAGTCCCAATTCTACAACTCGGTTTTCATTGTCACTTAACAGTTGTAGGTACAATGTAGTAAAATTTATTTGTTCTGGGATTCCTTGACTTATATTTCCTGATTGATTCCTTGAGGGGAAAATTCAAATAAACTTCAGCCTACTGAGATTTTGATTAAATTGCAAAGTGCTCACTGTCTGGGTTTCCTTGTGTGTAGGCAGTTATAGCCAGCCATATGTTTACTTTGTAAATTCTAGTTGAGGGTGCAATTTAAGCTGTTTCAATTTAGGTGGAAGTTTTGTCAGACCTCACAAATGAGATGAGTATTCTGTTAGGAGTTTGCCAGATTTTTTTTTGCAGGAGCTGTGGGCAGTTCTATCATAATTCAGAAAACCTACTGCTAGGTTGCTTTTGTATCCTAAAAAGTTCTTCCTTGCAAGAAGGAATGAAGGAATTAGAACATCACCATTTGGCAACAGTTGTAGTAATAATTACTTTGGGCAGGAGCCCAAAAGAGCTGCTAGAATTGGTGGGTGTGAGTATGAGAAAAAAGGTATCTATGTGATCTCAGAGAGTGTCTACACTAGACATTTCCTAAATACTAAGCTGGGGGGAGGGGAAGGAAAATATTTTATGGTTGAGTAGCTAATCAGACAACCTCTTACCCCAGTGCTTCCAATTTCTCAGGGTGGGACAAAGAGGTGATGAGGGCAGGTCTCAGAGGTTGTCCAGGGACAATACCTTCTTTTACCAACTTCCCATCTGCAAGCTTTTGGGTAAAGGTTCCCTTCTCTTGCCACCAAAATTCATTGCTCCTTCTGCCAAAACCCGTGCTACCCTCAGAGTTAAAGCCTGTTCCTGGTTCTGATTATTTCTGTTTGTTTGCCTAATGAAAGTCTGCAGTGTGCTAAGTACGAGGGAGTCAGCATTAAGTCACAAACTCTTGTTCTATAGGACGTTCTAGCTACTGCTACAGAATAATATCCGAAAGATTATTACAGCCCTTTGTAATCTGTAGAGAGATGCACGGGGTGGTGCAACAGGAGCCAAACGATGGGGCTGAACTAGTGATATGTACCAGAAAAGCCAAATTGTTTCTTCATTGTGATTGAAAATATATTCATACGATGGATTAACAAGTCAGTTTGAGCTCCCAACTAATTCTTCTTCAATCCTGTGCCATGAGAGTAATTGAAAGACCACGCCTGAAACAGCAGAGGCTGTAAGATCTACTCTTACATATTTCCCACCCCTTTCTGGTTGTTGTTGTCCAATGAGAAGGTAAGAATAAGCTTAAGAGCTTTCTGGCAGGCATGAAGCTGTACCAAGAGAGAGTCGAGGTTACCCAGGCAAAGTACAGCATCTAATCAGGCCCAGGGATGACAAACAGTGTTACCTAAAACAAACAACAACAACAAAGAAACATGAATTGTTGAGTACTAGAGGCTCTTCGTATGCTGGGAAGGATGGTGAGAAACGGCAGCAGGATGGTTGTTGAGAGGAGGCCAGAAAGGACCTTTTATGTTCTCCCAAGACACCTGAACTTGATCAGACAAGCTATAAAATATCTTTAAATAAGTCTAAGCAATAGGAAGCAACATTATTACTTTAAAAATACATATGGTGGGATAGAAAGGGACTGCAGGGCCAAAAGAAAAATCTATTTATAGATTGTTGAAACAATTCAGTCAAGAAATGAACACTTTTCTAAAATAGAATCATCATGATATGTAGGAATTGCTGAGGCCCACAGACAGGAGGAGGGGGTGGGACAAGAACAAAGTGGGAAGGGAGCCCCATGGATGATAGTGGAGGGTGGTGGCTGCTTGGTGGTGGGAGCTCTGTGGTAGCGACACCCAAAGGGCAGAGACGCTATGCTCCCCAAATGATAACAGCTATGTAAGCCAACATTATGTCAGTCAATAAAAGGTAGAATCATCTGGGTACAGTGATTGTGTAAAAATGATGAGCTATCCATTAGACATTGTCAATCTATTCAGCATCAGATAAAGATTTTATTCAAAGTGAACCTGTAGTAAGATTTTTATATATACTTCTTAAATGAAACATTGATCTTGCACAGGGATTTACAGAGATTGCTCTTTCCCCCAAACCATCATTTTCTAAAGATTTGCAAGTAAAAACAATGCATCTGCTTGTTTTTTGACAACACTGGTGAGGTTACAGGGCTGGCTTTGTTCTTTGCAGCTAGTAAGAAAATATAAATAACAGCACAACCTTTGCAGTTGCTGGTTCTCCCTTTTAGGAAATCTAAAGGTGTTCCTTCAGCACCTCTGGTGCATAAGCGGACCTGGTCCCTCTGGTGGTTTTCTGTTTTCACCAGGATGGATCATGAAGCTGCCCAGTTGGAGAAGCAGCATGTACATGCAGTCTATGAAAGCACTGCTCCTTACTTCAGTGATCTGCAGAGCAAAGCCTGGCCTCGGGTCCGCCAGTTCCTCCAGGAGCAGAAGCCAGGCAGCCTCATCGCCGATATAGGTAACCCGTACTTGTGCCACACAGCCTGAAATATACCCCAATGTGTCTTTCCGTTTCAGCTTAATTTTTCAGTTTTGCTCTCGCCAGAAGTCTGAAACTGTGTCTTAGGCATACTACAACCCAAGCTTATCATTTTGTGGCAGAATTCTTGTCAACAAGCCACCTTACTTCCTATACTGGACAGCAGCAGTCTTTTCAGAGCTGTGCACATCTGCAATGAAGTCAACCTGACACTGAAAAAAATCAGGATTGAAATGACTTCTTGTGAAACTGATCATTTGAAATTGAGAGTCATATTTGTAAACACAGCGTTTTGATGGCTATCTTAAGTGACTATCATGCCTTCAAAAGAAAAGCCAGAATTGTGGGATCTTAGAAAAGGCTCTATAGCTTCTTACTAATTTAATGCATCCTTTCCCTTAAGTATTCTGTCAGGGTCTTACATTTATAGTATATCTTTAAACATATTATATCATCATAACCACTGATTTGCCTGGGAGACTGACTCTGTGTCCTCTTCTGAATTAAGACAAAGTAAAACACAGCCTAATAGATCTAAGGCCTTATAAGGTTTACGATGTGGCTGGAGTCTCACCTTGGTCATGCCCATCTAAAACTGTGTTCTAGCAACTACACGCAGGCAGCACTCGTGGGAGTCCTACATTTGTCTAATATATCCTGGAGATCATTCCTTGTTTGTGCTTATAAAACTTGCTAATAAAACCTGCATGGCATTTTATGCAAATTGCTCCATGATAACAGATAAATATGTTATTTTGCTACTGCAAATATTGATATAAGATTCATGAAACACCTCTGTGAATATAATTATCTATAGTAAATATTTCTTTACCTATTTATGTTTTGAATTGAACTATTTCTAGTTTTACTCTCCAATAGGTGAATAAATAATATCTTCACTGTACAATGAAAGAGATGTTTTAAAACAAAGTGAAATTTTCTGTAAAGCTTATTTTATTAAAACCAAGTTGAAGCACAAAAAGAAATAAGTGAAAAGAAAAGAAAAGAAAGAAACCAAGGAAGTTAGAAGAAGAAAAGAGTAGGAGAATATGAGGATCTCCAAAGAGTTTTATCCTTCCAGGTTTTTCATTTAGCTAAAGTCATGAACTACTTGTTGTGTTGGTTAACTGACTGGTCATTAGGTTAGGAATTTTTAATTAACTACTAATAAAACTTTGCATAGGTAAAAATCATCTAGAGGTAATCGAGTTCTTGCTGTTGTTACAGAAATTCTCTAGGTTGTTTCACTCTTTCAGTGGCACAACTTTTCACTGACTGTGGTGTTATTAACCATATCACCCCATTCCTCAACCAAGCTGACTTGCTGAAATGTGTAAGAATGGCTCTTAATTGAGATTCATTCTTGGGAATAGGTATCAGATATCAGTGATTAGGAACTGCAGCCTAAGTAAAAAGAACTTCAGTGTTAACAAAGACAGTGATGCAGAAGATCTCAGGGAATACTGGGGTCTGTGCAACTCTGACAATACCTCTACTTGAAATGGACTAGACAACTTCAGGCCATTAGATGGTGTAAAGTAGTCATTCTATGATTTGAAATCTTTACTTGCATTAGTTTAGAAAGCAGGAGAAAAGTGAGCTGATTTCTTTATGAACAAGGCTATCTTTTTACCTTATATCAGAAACAATAGTTCTAATAGTTCTAAACATTTTATTTTTGAATCTATAATAAAATGACTGCTCAGTAATGAAGATTATCTTTGCTACTTAACTCTCAGTGCATTTAGTCCCCATCACTATGGTCAGATATAATTTGTTAAATCACACTTTAATCATTAGTCTTTTATGAGGCCATAAAACTCGCTACTCTTATTAAATGGCAGAACCACACAGAATGAAAACGTATTCTTTCTTCTGGCCAGAAGAAAGCCATATGAAATGGAAAATAAATAGGGTATAAACTTCTTTTACCATAGGAAAAGAGAATTTTCTTTCTGATAAGTTCTTAGCAAAGTCCTCAATTTAAAAAATATAGTTGTTTCTGCAAAGTTCAGAGGGAGCATTCAGATTCAATTATTTTCCAAAGTCTTGCCTACCTTGGCCAAAATATTTACTGGAGTTAAAATAATTTAATGTGATTAAATGTTTCCCTCCTTAATCATAATATGCTGCAGAATACAAAATATAGGGGAATGTGAGCATGTGATACCGCCCCTCTTCGGTATTGTGAAAAGTTACCATAAGATCTTACAGGGGAATGATGGTTATGTACTGGAGGTTGCCTCAGTACCAAGGTGGTCTGATTTATTTCTTGCATATTGAAGATAATAGGGTGACAATGCCTGGCAATATTTTTATTCTCCTCATTAGGATAAAATCTTTCCCCTCTAACATTTCTGTATGTGCACCTAAAGAAATGAATAATTGCCTCTCATTTAGGAATTTTACTACTACCCTTAAAAATAAATAGCATTAGGAAACATGGAGCTTCCCTATGACCCAACAATCCCACTCCTAGGTATCTACTCAAAACACACAAGAACACTGATTGAAAAAGATAGCTCCACCCCCATGTTTATTGCTGCTTTATTTACAACTGGAAAAACATGGAAGCAGCTCAAATGCCCGAAAGTAGAATGATTGGATTAGAAAGATGTGGTACATATATACAATGGAATATTACTCAGCAACCAAAAAAGAGAAACACATGTCTTTTGCAGCAACTTGGATGGAGCTGGAAAAGATCATGCTTAGCGAGATAAGCCAAAAAGAGAAAGAAACATACTGGATGGTTTCACTCATAGCAGGAGTATAATGGACCAGGCGAGAAAATAATAAGAATAATGAACACCCATATACCAGAGACATTTTGTGGGGGTGGAGTGGGGAATGGGATCAAAAACGGGGTGGGAAGGGAAGTGCACGGGATTATGGTGATGGCACATGGGTGACTTGGTGATAGGAAACCTGCAGGGATTACAATTGAGATCATAAGCATACTTAGAACCCAGTGACTATTAGATTGAAACTATTTCAATATCTATCTTATACACTGAAAAAAATAATGTTTGACAATCTTATTTTTATGCATATACTGTTCACTATCTTAGCTAGCATCTGGAAGTATTAGCTTTCAACAGCATCTTTTGAAGAGGAGATATTAAAGAGTGTGTGATTTAATGACATATTTCAGACAGAGCAAAGTAATATTTTTTTAATAAACTAGATTTTTCTTCAGGAAAATATCAGGCTGAAAAATCTATACCAGAAGATACAAATATCAGTTCCAATGGTATCTTAAAATTTCTGGGAAAGGAATTAAATGACACTAGATGTATAGATGGCTTGTTTCATAATGGTTATTCAAGTTACTACCTTCTTCATTGTAATAGCAGTAAGCTCTGAATGACTTAAATCTTTGGGCTATACAAGTCTTGAATTATTTGTGTTTCTGCAATTTGACAGAAAATTCTGTGAAAAATTTTAAAAGTAGTTCTTGTACTGCATCGTATAAGGATATCATTTATAGTGTTATATGTCTCCATTTTATATCATCTATATCATTACAGATCCATATATACCATATATACCCTTTATAAGGATAACATTTCACACAGATTTTTCTCTTGTAGGTTGTGGGTCTGGAAAGTATCTTAAGGTGAACAGCCAGGTACATACCCTGGGCTGTGACTACTGCGGGCCATTGGTAGAGATTGCCCGGAGTAGAGGATGTGAAGTCATGGTATGTGACAACCTTAATCTCCCCTTTAGGGATCAGGGCTTCGATGCCATCATCTCCATTGGAGGTAAGGCAGCCCAGCCATGTGCTCACTATTTGCCATGAGAATAATGTGACGTAGCTGGGACCACTCCACAGCTCACCCTCTGTTTTTGTACAGAGTTCAGTGTAATTCACTTTATCTCATTTTAATAGTATTTCAACTGGTTGAATTATTGACTGATCTTAAGTATACATTTGATTGTTTTACCAGTTAAACATTCAAACTCTTATTTTGGTGATTTGTTCCGATTTCCTTTTTTTATAAGAAAGTATTAGACACATTTTACTCATTAAAAATAGTATTTTATGATACTAAAATGAAATCAGATTTTGCCAAGAGGATGTAGAGCTGTAGAAGTAATAATTACTATTAACAGAATATTGCAAGTCTAATATATCCAGTGCTACCTGGAAGCACAAGTCATGTCACCTGCCACTCAACTGCTACACAAGTCACTGGGGAAGATGTTACCTACCTGGTCCAGATTGCATATGTTCATACTGCCAGTGTGCTTTCTAGCTGCCAGCAATTGTTCATAAATCTAGGGACTACGTTTCTTATATCTAAAAAGTGTGCCCCGAGGCACACATGCCAAAAATGAAAAGAAACAACAAAAATCCATGCCTAAAATATACACAGGTGACACTGCTGTTACTCAAAATATGTATTCCTGAAACTTGGTACAACAGTCATTGAAATATGCTGGGAAACTTGCTATTTAAGGAAGTGATATGGCAAATTCTGTTGCAAAACAAAAGAATTTTTCATCTAGCAAATTATTTACTCTAATACAATTTTAAATTGTTTTCTTTATTTGAATATAACGAGGTTTATCAAAGCAAGATGATCATTTATAAAACTGAATGACTAAGGAAATACATCCATTTCTTGAAATAAGTGAAAAGTTGATTTATTCAACAATAAATGGGAATTATATTTTGCATAGTGAGGGGACGCAAGCCTGGCTGCCATAACTTTAGAACTGGACAGGTTTGGTCAGAGATAGTTATCATGGAAACCTGGTCTGTGACAGCCTTACCTCTTTGCAAGTTCAAACTGCTAAGTCCAATCTTGGAAGTCAGCACTAAAAGGAGGACTTCTAATGGGAAGAATGCTTTTGGTGTGATCATTCCACTTAAAAATTAGAAATTGGACAAAAGTCAGCCAGCTACAATCTTTGCTCCTTTTCAGTTTATATTAGTTTTGGTCTGGAAAGCTACATACAATTATGTGTCATTGGGCCATACGGTTCTTGTCACATGGAGACACTACCCAGCATCCTTATCACTGGGGATACCCCTGTGCTCATGGTTAGGTCCCTCTCTGCTTTCAGTTTATCACATACCTGCTAGCAGAAAGAGAACACACCTAGTTGCTATTTTCTAATTAAAGGTGCATTATTAATTGCATTATTAATTAGAAACACAATGTTTTTATGAATTGCAAGAAGAAGAAGAAAAACCCTGCAAAACCTGTGGATTGCAAATGCTTAGAGAGATGAGACATACATACTTGAAAGTTAAATAACAATACAATACAAAATATCAAGATTTAACAGAACTTTAAATATGATCTTATGATTCTGGAATCCAGTATTGGGTTCAACCTGTTTTCTAGACTTTCAGCAGAAATACATTTCCATAGGATACATATATTTAACACTAGTTTTTCCCTCTGTGATTATGTTTTTTTAAACAAAATAGGAATTTTTTTAAATTTTTAAAATAAAAAATAGTTTTCTCACATTGATAATTTTTACTGATATCTCTTTATGCCCATCTTGGTTTACCTTTGCAATGTTTCTGAAAAGAACATTGTATGTGCATGTTTAAATACAAAAGGAATTTTTCGTTAAAAATGTTTTCTTTTTCGAAAACATTAGACTTAAATGTTACTTAGTATCACAAGTTAAAAATAGATATGGAACATAATACAAACTTTTAAAAACAAATATAAATATGAAGACTTTTCTTCCTTTAAAAAAAAAGAAAGAAACTTCTTTTGAAGCCCAGAATCCTGAAATACGAAGACTTTTGAATCTTCTAACAAGAGATCATTATTATAAACTAGTTCTTTTAAAATGGTGGAATTTGTTTTTCTTTTATCGCCCCCCAAAATGAATACTTAATTCTCATTATTCACAGTTATGTTCTATAAAGTTACCAGGAACACTGAATTAGTTAATCCCAAACCATTGCTCCCAGGGGAAATAGTTGAGTGAACCTCTGGTCATCTTGGGAGGGTCAACTGATCAGTAAATAACTTTGTTTTAAAGATACCTTATTTAATTTTGAACTTGTGGTCAGCAGCACTATAATGCCTGTCTGAAAGAACAGCTCATAACCACTTACATTCAGGAACACTTAGCACTCAGCACTATACCCCAGGGGCACTGTACACAGCAGGATCATTAATCAGTTGCACAAAAATGCAAAAGTGATGGCACTAAGTAGACTATGAAAAGATCACTTGTTTACAGCCCCAGAGCTGAAACAAGAATACAGAATCATGATATTTGACAGACCTCAGCTAGGACTTGCTCCTTGGAAGGTCTGGATTTTTTGCCACTCAGTACATGTCAGGAAATGACCACAAAACTCTGACCGTACTGATTGGGGACCACAAAAATTTTAGGGAATAGCTGAATGTTCAAATACAGAATCCACAGATAACATTAATCCAATGAAGTTTTAAAATATACCCATAGATATTTGAGAGTAAATCAGGTGCAAGTTATGGGAGATACAAACAGCCACAAAGAGCCATGAGTAGTGACAGCTAAATCTAGGCATTAGCATTGCCCCACATCTTAGTCCTGACCCAGTGCTGCCTTTTAGCTCAGTAACCAAGACTCTGCTTGTAGGAGCATATGCTTTCAAATTACCATTCACAAGGGCTCTTGCTCTAGGGATGAGTTGGGGGATCAGTCTGGGATCTACTGAAGTTAAGTGATTAGAAAGGTAAGAGAATCTCTGTTTCACCATTTATTCTTCCCTCACTACACATATCTGCAAGAGGGATTTCGCTGTGCACTAACTAATGTTTTTTCTTGCCACAGTACTGTGATTAATGACCCCTAAGAACAAAGACACTAGCACTGTTGTTTGATTTTTTTTTTTAAATGTCTAATAACACTCTTAAAACTAGAGCAAAGCCATGCTGCTCAACTTTTACTTTCCCTGGGCAAGATTAGAAGTAAACTGAAGATCTATAAGTTGAATTGCTGAAAAATATTCACGACCATTTCATATTACGTTAACTCTTAAAAATTAAAAATAATCATTGGGACTTATGGTTGGCTGCCTTTTCTGTGCATTATTTAAAGGAGAAAACCAACTTTAACAGATTTCTCAACTTCTTTGTTTTATTAAATTTTATTAACACTGGGCCCTCCCTGGTGGTGCAGCATGTTAAAGCATAGCACTAAGAAGATAAAGCCATTTCAGCATCAGTTCGCTTGTCCCAGAGGTGACCACATGGCATGGCAGACCTCTCCTGACCCACCCGCTGCTCCCATCAGCAGTGTACTTCATCGATCTACCTGTTCTGCTCCCGCTCTGTTTCTGGTGAAGCCTCTCGCCGCCCCTGAGCCTCTGGCCTGTACCCCAGTTCTGTATGCACAAATAAATAAATCTTTTTAAAAAGATTATGAACACTGATTAGTGGAGTAAACATTTTGGTGCTTGAGAGGTATCAACCATTCCTGAAAGCAATGAATGACTTCACAGAACCTCACTAAGGAACACTCAGTATACTTCTCTTGCAAATTATACTGACTCACACTGACCCTCTTTCTGATAAACAAAATTCATAGGATTTTGGAAGTAAAGAAGAATTTACACATGATTTAGGTATCTTATTATATGCAGGAAAAACCTCTTAAAATCTATAGAAGTTAAATTATTGCCCAAGATCTGTCATCTAAGAAGTACAGGAGCCAAAGTATGTCCCTCCTAAAGCCAGGCCTGCACTGTCCCCACTGCCTGTGGGAGACAAGGGGGCTCTCCTACATGTCAAAATGGCATCACTGTTATAAAGGGCAATACTAGTGTACAGGTACATTCATGTATGTGTGTAGAAACTGAAATTTAGTTTCTTCTTTTTTCAGTCATACATCATTTTTCTACAAAACAAAGAAGAATCAGAGCAATCAAAGAAATGGCCAGAGTGCTGGTCCCAGGAGGGCAGCTGATGATTTATGTTTGGGCCATGGAACAAAAGAAACGGCACTTTGAGAAGCAAGATGTGTTCGTGCCCTGGAACAGGGCCCTGTGTTCCCAGCTCTTCTCAGACTCCAACCTGCCTGGGAGAAAAAATCAGTGTGGATGCCCAGAAAGCAGCCACCCCTCCCTGCTTCCTGGCCCTGAGAGTAGCTGTTCGGTTTGTTTGAAAGAGCGCTGTGATTCAAAACGGTCCCACAGCCTGGACCATGACCCTGTGATGGTTGGAGCCTGCTGTACAGCTCTTTCTAAGGGAGACGAGGAAGAAAATGGATTCTATGACACACTAGGAAAATCTGTTCGTTCCTGGTTTTTCTCCAGATCTTTAGACGAATCAACTCTGAGGAAGCAAGTTGAGAGAGTGAGACCCTTGAGAAACACAGAGGGCTGGTCCAGGGCCCCTGTGTCCAGCCAGCCTTCCAGAAGCTCTAGCTTAGACTGTGATCACCAAGAGCCATTTTCAGTGAGGGAGCAAAATATAGATGAAGATGTATTTGTGGAAACACCTCAAAAACATTTGGAGTGGCTGAGAGCACCAAACACAATGAAACATCTCAATGGAGACCACAAAGGAGATAGGAGAAGTAGAGATGGGAACTGGCTGGATAGCACCACCCAGGAGACTTGTGTAGATGCAGGAAACTCAGAGGAAGGTAACCAGTCTGCTGGTAAAATACTGAGAAGGATTTCTGCAGTCAGTTCCACAGATTCCAACCCGGATGAGGCAATTTCTGTCAAAGAACAGCCTGACATTTTGGATTCCAGAGCCTTCATGCGCTATTACCATGTGTTCAGAGAGGGTGAGCTCTGTGGCTTGGTAGAGGAGAATGTGGCGGAGCTCCATATTCTGAGCTCTGGGAATGACCATGGCAACTGGTGTATCATTGCAGAGAAAAAGGAAAACTGTGATTGATAGGGTCATTTTAAGTAACTTTCAGGAATGGCCTCCCACTCAGGCAGAAGAGAGTTTAAATAAAAGTTCGCTATTAGCAGCAGCTTTTCATTCATCTGAGCACAAGAATTCGGTGCATCCAGACATTACCAATAATTTCTCTGTGGAACTGTCACATGGAAAGCACTCAGAAAGAGCCAACTAATATAAATATCACTAAAAAAAACCCTGCCCACCCATACGACTGTCCTTACGAGCAAATACAAGTCATAAGTGAATTCAAATCCTTTACCTTGCTCGGTTATAGATTTTACTGTGCTGTATGAATTAATTTGAAAAGTCAGACTCCATTAGTAGGGCTGGGTCAAACGGTGTCTTTCCCTTTCCTTTTCTCTTACTTGCTGGCATCACTGCACAGGCACACTGTTGGAAGTACAGGGGAACATTAAGGGGATTATTGGGAGGCCCTAAAGTACATTGGATGCCTCAATGGCCTATTTGAGGAATTCCACACAGTCAGTGACTTGGGAAAAATTAACATGGACAAAGGATGCAATCAAAATAAATATTAGAGTGGGAATCATACAAGTGGTCTATTTAAATGACTTTTTAAATAGTGATGAAATGACTCTAGCATGTCATAGTAGCTATCAAGCCATTTAAGAAATATCTTGGAGTAGCTCATAGGGTTAGTCTTCCTTTTTAATCACACATCCTTTGCAAGATGATATAACATTCTTGTTTCTAGTTTGCCTTTCTATATCTTTCCAAATTTGATCATCAGTTAAATGGGCAAAAAATTTCAAATGTAAATCAGCTCCTATCGGTAATGTATTTGTCTTTAAGAATAATAAAAAGAATAAACACAGGGGTTGGTGGTGGTGGTTGTTGTTAAGAAAAATCCTCTCTCTGTAAGAGAACAAAGAGTCTAGTCTAACAGTTGTTGAACTTGGTAGGGGAGTGTGCTCCTTAAAAATAAGCCCTGAGGGCCCTCCCTGGTGGTGCAGCGGATTAAAGCACAGCACTAAGAAGCCAAAGCCACTTCAGCATGAGTTCCATCCCCAGCCCCAGAGGTGATGAACAAGGCCTGGCAGACCTCTCCTGACCCGCCTGCTGCTCCCCTCAGCAGTGTACTTCATCAGTTGGCCTGCTCTGTTCCCCAATCTGTCTCTGGTGAACCCTTTCACCGCTCCTACACCTCTGGCCTATACCCCAGTTCTGTATGCATAAATAAATAACTCTTTAAAAAAAATGCTGTGAGCTATCCATTTAGGAAGAAACCAAGGAGCTGCAGTCTAGGAAGAACAAATTATAATAGGCCTGAGTTTTCATCTATTACATATAAAATTTGAAATAATAGTAAGAGCAGATAATGTTTCTTACTATATTACATTTATTATTTTATTTTTAATCCTCACCACAACCCAGTGAAGTAAGAATACTAATTATTCCCCTTTTACAGATGTGGAAACTTAGGCAGAAAAAAATTAATTCAGGGCCCTCCCGGGTGGGTTAAAGCACAGCACTAAGAAGCCAAAGCCACTTCAGCATGAGTTTGATCCCCGCCCTGGAGGAGACCCACATGGCGCAGCACACCTCTCCTGAACCACCTGCTGCTCCCCTCAGCAGTGTACTTCGTCAGTCAGCCTGTTCTGCTCCCCATTCTGTCTCAGATGAATCCTCTCTTGGCCCATGCACCTATGGCCTGTAGCCTAATACTGTATGCATAAATGAATAAATCTTAAAAAAAAAAAACAAATTATTTCAATAATCACATGTATAAAAGAGGCAGGGCTGGGATTCAGATCTGAAAAGTTTGGCTGGCTCTTAACACCTCTTACACCCGGTTTTGAAGCTAGACAGATTCTAAGAACCTAACAGGGTAAGTGGGATTATACCCTTTACAGTGGACTTCAGCAAAGTTATACAGAGATAACACCTCCAGACAATAACTGGATAGTTGTCCTTCACATATTTCCCCCATCTCTTGTATTTACTGTTTCATTTCATAAATCTTTATCAATTTGATTTTTAATTTAAAAAATGGGTCATTGCTCACACAATGATGCTCTGTGATCAACCTTTCAATCCTTTGACGATTGTATTACTCTTTTCCCATTTTACAGGTGAGAAAAGTGAGGGCCATTCAGGTATTTCATTCATTCTGTTTGCTAACTAAACTCTGTCATGTGCCAAATACATATAATAGAAGGCAGTGAGTACCAGGTGGCTGAGTGTCCATGGAATATTAGAAGTAGCTGACCAGGAAGTGTCCATCTGGAACATTTTTCTTATGTATCTACAACCAAGTATTATTTAGTTTGAGAAATGCACTTTATAGTCTCCCCTCTTGGAGAATTAGAGTGCACACTGGCATACTTAAGGCCTCGCCTAAACTAAACCTAGACTTAATTTAAGCCCAATGCAGCTAGCTCTGGACATCTGAAACCTTCTAGCACAAGCATTCTGTGGAACACATTTGAGAAAGTAGTGTGTCCTAGAGAATAAAATGCAAACACCTCAGACTGGCAGCTGGTGTTCACAAATTATTTTTTACCCTATCTGCAATTGCACTCAATTTTTCCCATATGTCAATCCGTTGTATAAACACTGCTTTCATTAGAAATTACAGAATGAGGGCCCTCCTTGGTGATGTGATAGGTTATATAGTACTGTGAAGCTAGCTGCAGCCACTGCTGCACAAGTTTGATCCCCAGCCAGGAAGGTAACCCACATGGTGCAGCAGACCTCTCTTGACCCACCTACTACTACCTTCAGCAGTATTTCAGTCAGTCTGCCTGTTCTGCTCCCCACTCTGACTCTGAATTCTCTCACCCCCTGCACCTCTGGCCTATATCCCAATTCTTGGATGCATAAATAAATAAATCTTTTAAAAAATTACTGAATGACAAGTATTTATCACATCCTTGAAATGTAAACTTAAGATTTCAAATGCCATAACTCTAATCCTTCTCAAAAAGAAAAAAAGTGCATGAATCCAGCTTTATCCTATTCTAAGGGCATATGAGGTAAGTGTTACCATACACCCATCTAGCAGGGAGAAAAAGCATGGGAGTGGAAAGGAATTATGGAAGCATCGGCCAATCCCAACCCAAAACGCTTTTCTCCTCTCACCCATGTCATAATGCAAATTTATCACTACTGGTTTGATACTATGAACTCAACATTTGCAATCTCAGTTCTCTATAAAACTGGAGTGGAGCTATTTTAAAAGAATCCTCACCAACCAAGGACCAAAATTCTAATGCAGTGGAAAGTTTTGGCATGGCACCAAGAGCACAAACATAGAAACCTGAGAGCTAATCGAAGAGAAAATTCTAGCTGTGAATTGTCCTATTTTTTTTTTTTATTCACCACAGATCCCACAGAATGTGATGCATTAGTAGGAACATCAGCCACTTCAGTCACAACACATACTGCCCCCCCACCGCCGAAGCTGCACCTCATTGTCCAAATGAGGTGATTTTTCAGTTATAATCACTTCGTCTGGGTGAGATGAAAGCTGTAATACAATCTCTCTGGCCAATCTGAATTTACTACTAAGTGACTAGTGGTTGTCAAACTGAACCCCTATTTGGCAATATATATATTTTCCCTTCAATCAGAACTGGGGAAAATAAAATTTACCCCCGGCCCCCAACTAATAATTAATTCATCCACATGAAGCAGTGGATGTTCTCTGCTATCACCTCCACACAGAGAAGACATGTTCACTGCACTGAATCTATAGCCACTGTTGAAGGCTGAATCCCTAGAATGTTATATTTATATTTATGCTCCAGGGGGAATTGGTGGAATGGCAGGCATTTCTCTACTGAAAGAATCCACCTACTTCCAGTCCACTTCCTGTTTACATATATGCCGAGCTCCACTAGGAAAGGCTTGCTTTCCTTAGTCACATGAACCATGGCCAGAGTGCAGGCTTCCTGCACACCAGTGGGGTTTCTGAGACACTGAATAGCATGAAAGGTTCCACTTCCTTTCTTTTTTTTTTTTTAAGATTTATTTAAAATTTATTTAAATTTTAAAGATTGAACTGGGGTACAGGCCAGAGGCTCAGGGGCGGTGAGAGGCTTCACCAGAGACAGAGTGGGGAGCAGAACAGGCAGATCGACGAAGTACACTGCTGAGGGGAGCAGCGGGCGGGTCAGGAGAGATCTGCCGCGCCATGTGGTCACCTCCGGGGCAGGCGGGGATCGAACTCATGCAAAGTGGCTTCAGCTTCTCAGTGCAGTACTTTAACCTGCTGTGCCACCAGGGAGGGTTCCACTTTCTTAAGTTGTTCTCTTAAGTATGTTCTGTAAATATGTATTTATTTCTAGACATCTAATGTTTGCTGTCACTAGTGACTGAGAAAAAAGTAGCCCTCTCTGTACTCATGAAAACATTAAACTGGCAATTTTAGAGAAGCCTATTTCACTATTTAGGTCCTTTTGTTTGGGGATAGAATTGTAAAGTTCGATGAGTTCTCGTGTTCACATGTACATACTTGTAAAGTGGGAAGCCCCCTTTTTACTACAATATACTGTTAGTTTAGTTTTTCCCAGAAGCAATAGTTTTAAAAGCATAGATTGATGTAAAATATCTTGACTGTCATCATAATTTGAAGATACTCGACTTGCCTTAAGCAATAATATTGAGGATCTCTTTGTCATAAGTATTCCAAAAATGGTGTCAGGTGAATGCTTACATATTATCCTGAATTAAGTTATATATAAATGTACCTTTAAAAAATGCTACTTGCGGCCCTCCCTGGTGGCTCAGCGGGTTAAAGCACCGCACTAAGAAACTTAAGCCACTTCCGCATGAGTTCGATCCCCGCCTGCCCCGGAGGTGACCACATCTGACCCACCCGCTGCTCCCCTCAGCAGTGTACTTCGTCAGTCAGCCTGTTCTGCTCCCCATTCTGTCTCAGATGAATCCTCTCTTGGCCCATGCACCTATGGCCT